CATATGGTAAATATGGGAAAATGTAGAAGTATGAAACTTCAAAAAAATATATATATATACACACATACATACAAACTATTAAGCATTAATTATTGAGATGCAAGCAAGGCTTAAGAACAAACATCTTAAATGAATTTGTGAAAACATAAAAAAAGTACAAGTTCTCAGAGACCCTTCCTTGAAATCAATGATCTCACACTGCCTGATATAAAAAAGCAATGGACCACATAGATGATGGGAATCCCATTCTATACATAGCACAGAAAAATACCTATTACCAAGTTGAAATGCATTAAAACATGAATTACTACCACAGAAAGAATATCAGAACAACCTCATAAACTTCTGTGAATGGATTTGCTACACATACAGCAAATTCAATCCCTACTCCAATGTTTCAAAATTCAGACCACAATCACAGTTGGTGATCTCCTCCATTACATTTAAGGGAACATGGTAAATAATTTACTTCCTGCAAGGCTATGATAAAAACAGATTCAAAAGTTTCTTTTCTTGAAAATACATATATTTACTATGTCCAAAATAATCAACTCTTGTATAAATAGGATTCCTCACTTCTATGAATTATTTTGTACTTTCTGACATCACAATGATATATAAAGATTTAACATATTTACAGTACTAGAGACATGGCTTTGCAGTTAAGACAATTTCATTCCCAGCACCTAGGTTAGGTTTTAACAACTTTCTATAATTCCTGCTATGAGAAGATCTCATCTCAAGAAGACCAGATGAGAAGGTCTGGTCTTCATGGAAACTAGAATGGAGGGGCACATAAATACGCAAAGACAAACTGTTATCCCATAATGGAAATTAAAAGAAATTCTTAAACAAATACATGTTTACTCAAGAATGTTTTACTTATATAAGCATTCATTACTGAACTCAGGTGTTGAGGCAACTACAGGCTTATCCACAAATGTTTCCTTCATCATGAATTCTTTCATGTAACAGAAATCAAACACATAAATTTGAAGTCAGAGAAATGAATTCTTCTCAGTTGGTGGTATCATTTGGGAAATTTTAAAAAAATGTATCCCTGCTGGAGAAAATATGTTATTTGGGATGCGCTTGATAGTTTTCAGCTGCATACCTTCTCTAGTTCCCACTCTCTGCTTCATGCTGCAGGTGGAGGTTGGGAGCTCCAAGCTTCCTACTTTAGCTGCTATGTATGACACTTGTTTTGCCCAATTTATAATGATCCCATTTCCTCTCGTATCATAAGGCAAAGTAAAGACATTTGGAAGTTGCCTTAGACATTGTGTTTGGTCACAGATAATGCACTAATATGCACACATAAATTTAACAACTGGATGATTTATTTCATGTAAACTAAGTGAACTGTGAAATAAAAAAGGATTATCTTATTGTTTAACTTCATATGCCTTTGGTCCATATGAGATTTCAATTGGAAACCAAATAAGGAAGGATGTCATAACAACACATGCATATATTGTTGACACTTGTTAGAATTTTCCTCCAAAATAATCTAGTGTAATTGAATGCAAGCTGGTGGGTCAAAGACCTTAACAAACCTTTTATCCTAATAGATGTTCTTCATAATGAGTTCTTTTAGGTTCTCAAAGACTACTGTGATATGCAAAGGCTTTAAGATGTAGCCCACAAAGCAAAGCTTTTACTCTTATATAATGGTAGCATGAAGCAGAAAAATTTTCCATACTTACTATATTCATGGGATTTCTCTGCAGCATGACTTTTTCTCATGATTTCAAAGAAAACCCTATGAAAAGGGTTTACCACATTGCTTATTCAGAGGGTTTCACTGCAGTGTGTGTTCTTTTATGTATTTGGAGATAACTGTATTAAGAAAAGGCTTTATCACATTGAAGACATGTGTCAGGTTTCTCTCTACTATCTCAACATTTGTATTCTTGAAGATGACTTTGATATACAAAACATGTAAAAGCAAATTGTATGTGGGAACATGCAAAAGCAACGTGTCCTAAGTATTTCCTTTTAGATTCCAGCCTTCATTGATTTATAGGGAAAACATAAGTTTAAGTTCATAGTCCCTAGGAAAGCTGTAGACTTCCCAATAGCTGGCGGGCTTTAATTACTTAAATTTTGTTGCCCAAAACATGACTATTCCATACCATGATTTCTGGTTGCCTAACATAATGACTGACCCAAACCACAAATTCTCTTTCCTAAAACATAATACCTTTTCCTAACCACCAAAGAACAAATGGATGTGATTGTTTTGACTGTAAAACCTACATTTTCCATCAGATGACTTCCTCAATGATGTAAACAAATCTCATATTCTTAAACCATGACTGATGGGAAAAAAATCAGTTGTAAAACAGTAAAGATGTTTATGATTTTCAAGTTCAGAACCCCTGGAACTTTCTGGCTCATTGAATGGGTAGGTCTCACAGTTCCACATTATTCGTCCCTACTCAAACTGGATGACAATAATTTTTTTTCATCTGTATTGACCTGTTTGAGTTGTACTGGATTCAGTGGACAGAAGAACACAAAAGCCTTACCATATTGATTATATTCTCAAATTATCTTTCCATTTTGAAACTTTTATGATGATGTAGAATATAGACATGGGCAAAGGTCTCCCATTTTAACACATTCATAAAGTTTTTCTCTGTATGAATTCTTTCATGATGACAAAGGTTATACAAATGTGGAGTAGCTTCACCATGTAAATACACTCAAAGTCTTTCGTTCCAGTATGAATTCATTAATGACGTAGAAGATGATTGTGAATAGTAAGTTTTTATTAGGAGATGACTGTTATGTGAAAATGCTTTACCACATAGATTACATTAATAAGGTTTCTCTCAAGTGTGAGATCTTTTATATACTAGGAGATGACTGTTACATGCAAAGGCTTTAACAAGTTCATTACATCCATAAGAGTTCTCTCCAGTGTGAGCTTATTTTTGTATTAGGAGACTACTGTTAAATGCAATGGCTTTACCACCTTAGTTACATTCATATGCCTTCTTTATGTCATAGGAGATTATTATTATGTTAAAATGCTTTATCACATTGGTTACATTCATAAAGTTTCTATCCAGTGTGCTTCTTCTATATACACGAAGATTTTTTATGGCATGCAAAGTTTTTGACACATTGGTTATATTCATAGGGTTTCACTTCAATAAGGGTTCTTGTTCAAGATAAGTCTTATATAAAAAGATTTCATGACATTAGTTATATTCATAAGAATTTTCTGCAACAAAGTTTTTTATGTCTTAGGAGAACACTATTTGCAAAGGCTTTACCACATTGGTTACATTCATAAGGATTCTCTCCAGAGTGAGTTTGTTTATGTATTAAAAGATTACTGTTACATGCAAAGGTTTTACCACATTGGTTACATTCATGAGTTTTCTCACCAGTGTGAGTTCTTTTATGTATTAGGAGATGACTGTTCTGTAAAAAGACTTTACCACATTGGATACATGCATAAGGTTTTTCTCCAGTGTGAGTTCTTTTATGAACTAGGAGATTACTGTTCTTTGAAAAGGCTCTACCGCATTGGTTACATTCATAAGGTTTCTCTCCAGTGTGAGTTCTTTTATGAACTAAGAGACTGCTGTTACTTGCAAAGGCTTTACCACATTGGTTACATTCATAAGGTTTCTCTCCAGTGTGAGTTCTTTTATGTATTAGGAGATGACTGATCTGTGAAAAGGCTTTACCACATTGGTTACATTCATAAGGTTTCTCTCCAGTGTGAATTCTTTTGTGTTTTTTGAGACTACTGTTACATGCAAAGGCTTTACCACATTGGTTACATTCAT